CTAAAAGGTTACAAGTAGAATGGTATTTTATGGTATTTTTCTGAATCCATTTCAGAGCCACTGCTCACAAGCATGAACTCAATGCCCATGTGTAGCCAGAAGCACGTTGATGCATTCTTCAGGTTACCTTGAGAAAACATCCCTTGCAGTCTGGCAAAGGAAAGCCACAGAGCCACAGAAAGTAGCAGCAGACACATAGGCCAAGCAGTCCCTGTTTGCTGAACAGCCAGCACTTGAAGAATGAGGATAAGTACCAACACACAAAGAAGAGATGTGTGGTACCATGGGGTATTTTCCAAAGTAGGACACACATTGATGGCAAGCACACTTTTCCTCTTCCAACATTTGCTCTGCTGCTGTGCTTCTTGGCCAGAGATGCATGAAAAGCGCACTGGTGCCTGCTCTGTTCTTGTATGGCACGCAGGGAGAGCTGGAAAGCGGCAGCTCCGATAGTGCAGCAAGCCTGGAGCTCTTCCAAGCCCAGGCTGTTCTGCACAAGCAAGAACCTCTGGGGAAATGGAGCCAAGGGAAGAGCAGAGCTCGCTCCCGCTACAAATCTGCACTGGGCAAGAGAGCCAGAGGACGTCAGGGCACGAGTGGCACCTTGGAGGTGCAAGAGCAGCAGGAGAGATCCAAACTGAAAGGGTCCAGAAGAGCCTTGAGAAGGGGCCGTGCTTAGTGCTGCAGAGAACAAGAAGAAACACCCGGAGCCACCCTGGGGGCCCACCTTGGGTGTCTGGAAAGCTTTCTTCCTCCAGATGTAGGGCACGAGGGCCATCTTTGTGGTACAAAAGCAGCAGGCAGTAACCCAGCCAAAATGGACCAGAGGAGCCCTGACAAGTGGTCCTGCTCAGTGCTGCAGAGGAAGGCAAAAAACTCCTAGGACCAGTACCAATTTGTCTCGGGGGAAAATTCCTTCCTGACCCCAACGCTGGTGAGCAGCTGTTCCCTGAGCATGTGAGCAAGACTGGCTCCCTCATCCCCCAGGCTGGTCACACCTCCCAGGGGATGCCCAAGTCCTATTCTCCCTCAACCTGGAGCCATCTTTGGGGCTTCCCAGAGTGGCAAAAGGCCCGTGGCATGATCGATTTTGGGGGTAAGAAGCATTCCCATGCTTGGCAGGGCACCAGTGGGTGCTCCAAGGCAACCTTTGCAACATCTGGGCATTCCAATCCTTACAGCAGCTGCCCCTGGCTCTGCAGGGGACAATGATGGCAAGCTCTGCAGTGCTCCTCAAGAAGGCATTCCCTTGGTCTTGCTACTACCCTCCAGCTAAAAAAGGCCTGACAGACTTGGACACATTCAGGTATTGGTGGTGGTTCTCATCTCCAGTAGCCTCGTCCAGCCTTCTCCAGTCTTCCTCCCTCAGCCCCCTCCAAGTAATTCCAACACCGCCTCAAGGATTTCCTCTCTGATGTCTTCAGGCTGCCCCTGGGCCAACTCTGACAGCAGGACATGGGAGCACGCTCCTTTTTATCCTTCCCTGGAACACTGTGACAGCTGCATTGCTGGGTGGTGGCACTGTGACATGGGAGTGACGCCCCCCTCCATGTGCAGCCCTGCCCACGACCCCTCTGCCCAGCATCATTCAGAGGAAGGCCTCTGGAGTGCTGGCCCCAAAGCAGTCCCTGTGCCCAGGAGACCTAGGGGGCTGTTCCTGCCCTTGGTGGCCATTCACTGGGAACAGCTGCCAGGCATCCCTGTGAATTCATCTGGACATTCAGGCTATGTCAAGAATGGCATCTATACCATATACATTCCTGTGGTTGTGGTCATGCCAGAGGTGAAAGAAAGGCTTTTGGTTCCTTCTGCATGACCTCTGCAGAGACGTAGAGAGCATGCAGGATTTCCTCACTGTTCCTTACCAATGCAACAAGGGGCTTTTGCTACTACCCTGCATATGGTGAGGTCTTTTGGTTGGAAAGAAGCCTTGAATTGTTTTGTGTTGTTGACCATCTTTTTCCTTACACTTCAAGCACTCTTTTCCTCCTTTGGTCTTCATCCTTTGTATCTTTCCTGAAAGTGATGGCAGCTCTCAGCCTTCGCCTTGCTCCTGCCAGTTATCGTCTTCTTCTGTCAACTGTTTGCTGAAGCTTTTATAGCCCATTGAAATACACACTTTCCCAGTTGTTCCTGAACAAAAAAAAATTCCTCAACTCAAAGCAATTAAGCAATGTCAGTGAGCTGCTTAGCAAGCCTGTCACTTCTCTTCTGGCCTAAGCATTGCTTGGGATCAACCACTGTTACAATACTAGGAAGGATTTTGAATCAGTTATTTTCTTTCTATTTGAGTCTCTGCCCATTTTCCTCTGAGACTCTGTTGTAACATAGAATTAATTCGCAATTACAAAACAAAGCAGATTCTTGGTCCCAGATGTAATTTACTTGGCAATGGAAACAGGCTTTTAGGGAAAGGTAGCAAGCTCCATGCAGCAGAAAATAACTAACAACTCTCACTAACACACAGTACAATTTATGTCAAAAGATTCAACAGTTACCATTCCGGTGCTCTATTCATGTACACTGCTGTTAAGAACTGGACACTTTGGTTGCTTTTTTCTTTAAAACACTACAAATGCTTCTCCAGATTTAACCACTGATGCTGGATTAAATTAGCAGTGTCATTTCCCATGCACTGTTTCAACTTCTATGAAGTATACCAAATAAATTTTCCTGTGTGACCTAGTCTAGGTGATCCTGCTCTGGCAGGGGGGTTGGACTGGATGATCTTTCGAGGTCCCTTCCAACTCCTTACATTCTGTGATTCTGTGATTCTGTAATAGTGGAAGATCACAATTTGGATGGGGAAGACACACAAAAAAAGATGGTATTTTCACATTCAAAAACACAGCAATGACAAAATTCTTTCTCCTCCCCCACAGTAAATGAAGGAAAATCACTTTTATTCTTTGAATCTTACATTTCTTAGACTCTTTGAAAAGTTCAGACTAGATCTTATTTTCAAATTAAATGGAATCCATTTAAACATGGCATTTGTTTAAAGATCACAGTACACATCTAGTAGATGTCATCAAGGTGACAGTTTCTTCTCCATTTAGTACCCAGGTCACTCTGGTTTATACTGAATTACGCTGGCTCATATATCTCTCACATGAGCTGTTCATCAGGTGAACACAGTTTCAAATGAGCCAGAACTGGTAAAGAATTTGCACTAAATAAAGCAATTAGATTGAAATGAACATGGTTTTGAAAAAAAGTCAGAATTTTTGCTATGTGATTTCCAAACTGAAGTTCTGAAACTTGCTTTGAAGATTGTTGATGCTTTAAGTAAAACGAGGATCAAAATGAAACTCCACGCAGAACATAAAATTATTTGGCTTTGGCCACACAAAACGCAGAACTAAACAGTCTTTTGGATCAAATTATTGGTTCATTTTTTTACTTCACCACTAGTTTTGGTGGACCAAAACATTTTAATGCAGAAAATAATAGTTAAGTAGAAAACTAATCCAAAATCCTTAGTACATATGTCATTCTTCTTTTATAAAGAGCAATTTTCTGCTAGGATCTAGTGAATAAAAAAGTGTCTTTGGAAAAATGCACGGGAAACACCTTAGAAAATGAATCATTCTAACGTTAGAGTAACGAAAAAACAAGCCAGTGCCTTCAACACTTGTGAAAGGATGTGAAAACAAACCAGTACAGCTACAGGTGTTCTTTATTTATCTACATATAAACAATTATAGTAAAAGGGGCACTTCTAATTTTATTTAGACCTGGAAATGCTTTTCATACACACAGACCTAAGTCTCAAACACTGGGCCAGAATGAAGACTCACTCGTAACAGATATCACTCACTTCAAATAGAAGAGCATTCACATAAAAAGCATTTCGAGAAATGATAGAAAATAAAGGTTTACAACATAAACTTAGAAATTGTTCTATTTTGGGCATATGATCTTTATTTAAACTGTTACATAGGAATAGCTTTATAGAATAAGATTTCTGAGTAGAATTTTTTTCTCTTTCCTCCTATGTCTGTTCCAAGTTTTGATGTTCATACTTTAGTTCCCACACTCTTCACAGGACGAAGAATTATTTATGTACAAAATTATACTCTGAAAGGCACCTCAATCAACATGATAACTTTATACTTCTTTTTAGGATATCACTTGCACAGACTGAAGTGAGAGTGGGGAGTATACAGAGAACACAAGTCATCAAGAATAATAATAGTAAAACAGGAAAAATAAAGAGTCTGACATACGAAAGTTTCTTCATTGCTCCTTAATATATTTATAGTGAATCAATTTCCTCTCACACTTTCCAGCTCTGTGAAATAAGACCTGTATATCTTGCCACAGCTTGTTTGTAAGCCATACAATTCCAAGTAGCCATGCTTAAAGACATTTTGTAAGCTATCTTATTAATGTGGCATAATAATTTCCCTGTGGGGATAGTCACTAGAGACATAAATTGTTCCTTTGCTAGGACAATGCTTCCAGTTCTTGATAATGACATTTTTGACTAACTTCCAGCAAAAGCTTCCACTTGGTTACATCTATATTCAGTTCCTTTGCCAGTGATCTTCTATCCAAGTCACAAGGTTCACAGACGAAAACCTGAAGTGTCCTGCACAAAACCTCAGGAGATATCATCTCTCCCATAGTCAATGTTACACTACACATACATACACTTGCATACAGTTTTGCAGAACTTAGTTTACCAACCAGCTTTACCCATAGGAGAGTAACTTTACCCCTTTTGCAGCTGGAGGGTGTATTTGCCTGGGGACTCTCCTGTTTCTGGTAGCTGCCTGTGAATTCCATGATGATGAAGCCCAATGGAAGCAAAGAGCTTTGCACCAGCAACACTGATGGTCAAGCTCAGAAGGAGTGACTTTCAGCAGCAGTAGCAGCAGTAGCTCGTTGTTCACAGAAGCGTTGTCTCTGTCTCAGTATCTCACAGGTTCCATTTCAGCAGATCTGAAATCTTTATGTCAAGTTTCTCTTTTCATCCTCCTTTCTTAGTGCTTTTGGAAGAAGGAAATTGAGAAAAAAGAAAACCCAGAGGAACAACTTACACCAGGATATCACTTCTCTTGCTACACCATACTACTAGTGCTATCATGGCACACGTCAACATGACTGGGATCAAGATCAGAGTTATAAGAATTTCATCCGGTGGATCTTCCCAGTGAACCTTTTCTGAAGTACAGTTTGAAAAGAACTGTTTATGAATTCCAGTGATAAAACCCTCTGCGAGGGGGTTTGGCCAAAAGCAACTTGCGTTGTTGGCTTCACGTTCTGTGCACTGGGTAAAGTTGTCATAATACCTACGAGAAGAAGAAAATTAAGAAAAATTTAAACAGAACACATATGCGTATTGCACTGAGAGAAAGGATGCCATATAGAATCTATAAAAGCAGGTCTATCCTATAGATACTCTGCTGAAGAATCTTTAATGGAAGCTGTGGGTACCAAATACTACATAGTGAGCCACAAGGAGAACTGACTCACACATACTCATTCAACTGAGAGACTTCATGTGAAATCTGGAGCTCCAGGATGGACAATGATCAAAACTCTGTCTTTTGGATGCTGTAACTGCAGCCACTCAAGGAGAAATAGAATCCCCTCACTAGAGGTATCTACAGTATCTTTAAAAAAAACATACACACAAATGTGCCAAGAACAAGGCATTTTGAGCAAAATATGGATAATTCATGACTCATCTGTCGTTGGGCATGATGTTGTGGCAAAAATGATGATGTGATGCTGGGACCAAGTCACAAAATGCATTATTGTTTAACAATTTCAGTTCTGTTGTACCTTCAGGCAGTAAGAAGATAGTGGGAAAATAAACACACAGAAAGGTAGCTTTTGACTATCTTTATCTTTTTCCCAACTCCAGCAAATGCCCAGTAGGAAAAAAAGTAATAATCATTCCTAAATACACATGCTCACAATGCTCATGAAAGATTGGGAACCCCTTGTAATGCCTAACACTTGACTTCAACACAGCATCTTCTGAAGTTTACCCATGCAGGGCTAACTTGTATTTATGTGAATTGGCTAGCCCTCAGGAAAAAAAGGAAACAATAAGCCTAAATGAGTAATCACATGGGGTCTGTGGTGTTATCATAAGCCAAAGAAATTCAGGAAGCAAATGGAGTATGGGGTAGGAGATCGGAAATAAAGAAGATGAAGAGTGCCTGGTCAGTACATGAACATAGCAAGAAATAAGGAAGCTTAATTATTGTCTGTTGTATTTTTAAATATTTATTTCAGTCCTGCATGACTCAATAAACTCACTTCAAAGAGCAATTAAAAATAGAAATGAGAGAGCAAGAAATCACATGACACCACAAGGGATAGCATCCTGCACTATTATGTGAAGGCCCTACCCTTCCTTTCAGTATGTATAAATACAGTAACTCCTGGTCAATGACTCGTTCTGACATTAAGTACCACAGGAGAGTAATGTTGAGTCAATCCTTTGCTGTGAAGTAGAGACATTCAGTGTTTGGGTCAAGACTGAAGTCCACTGTCTCTTACCTGTCTGACAGGGGAAATGTCTGCCTGCCCATGCTACAAGCACATCAGTTGAGAATAGAGGTTGCAGAGCATCTATGAGGTTCTCAGGGCTGTGTTCACCAAAGAAGCAGCAGCCTCAAAAAAACGTCCTTTTGCAACTCCCTCATAGTTCTTAGTCTCAGGGAGTTTGAGCTGGTGCTGCTTTATTCATAAGCAAATACACTGGATGATTTGACAAGTCCAAACCCAGATGCTATGGCATGCAGATGCATATGTGCACAATGTATGTATATTTTAAGCAAAGCACCTAGAAAGGAAGCTTTTGTGACAATGTCAGCAGCTGCAGGGAAACAACAGGAAATAAGCTAAAATTAAAATATAAATATTAGCTGTTTGTTATTTTAATAGTGTCATTCTTCCATGTGACCTAGTAGCATCCATTCTTTATGTCCTTGAACTAAATTAGAAGTTGAAGATGTCTGAACATGGGAGAGACAGTCCTAGAGGATGTGAAGAATAATACATCTAAAGACAAGGTTCAACAGAGTAAATGCAGAGACAGCGGAGCTAACATCCAGTTGCCCAGACAGGTCAGTGCTCTTCCTAGCACAGACACCAGGCAGGGCTCCAGAGAGCATCAGGCTCTGCTCCAGCCCTGCTCTGTGCCATGCTCTGGTGAGCAACCTCATCTGATCAATAGCTGCTTCAGCTCCCCACTGCCACAGCCACCACATTTTGCCCATCTGTTCATGCAGAGTAACAAAACCAACAATAAATCCTGGCGACCTGAGAAGACTTCATACAGAAGTACCCTAAACTAAAAGTTGTAATAATATAAAAACTTTTTAAATGTTTTTTATTTATTTTTTTCTGGGTGTAAGATCCTATAGAAAGTTCACTGTTATTCCAAGAATTCTGTTGATTTTTTTTCATAAATGCTAGATGATGTAAACAAAAATATTTTCCACTGATTCTGCATTTCAAGTACAGCATAGCTAGAAAAAATCTGGTTAAATGTTGCCAAAAGGTCAGATAAAAATAATTAGAGAGTTATATTGCATTTGAAAGACTGAATCCCTAGGAGACAAAACAGAATTACAAGAGTTATCTTAATAGTTTGAATTCCTTACAATTTTCCCTTAATACTGTCTCAAAAAAAAAAAAAAACAACAAACAAAACCTACCTGCACTATAACTGTTTCCACACAATTGTGCCAATACAGATAAGAAAAAAATCAACTATTTTAGAATTACATGTCTGCCAATAAGGCTCAATTCACTTAAATATTTATGTAATTTAGAGTTTATACACTACAACAGAAAGTTCAGGTAAAAAAAATTCCTCTGCATGGTACAGTATAACAGCTGCCTCAGAAGGGAGCAACTGAATCCTCATTAGTGCGGCATGGGCGTTCTGTGGTTGATCAACAGGTACGCAAATTGTTGGGCTTTTTTAAGAAGGAGGTAGGGGCTAATAGATATTTAATTCCAATTTGATTCTCCTATGATTACTTCTCTTATGCCTTATGTAATTCTCTTTATTCAAGTTGTAAAGTCTTCAGTAGGAAACCTTTTCATTCTGTATAATAAAATGCCTATCAAAAAGATACCCTGGCCTCTGACTGGAGGTACTTCAACACAAATGCATTAAAAAAATTACACACTTTGTGAAAGGAAAGAACGAGAAATCACATTTTCTACTTATTTCCAGAACAAGTAATTGGAGAGCACAAGCTCCTTCACCTCTCAGATTATAAAGAGGTGTTGAAAGGTTGTTATTCTCTCTGCTGAGTCATGTTTTCATCTCTTTTATGCAAGCTACAAGGACCCTAGTTAGTTAAGACTCAGAAAAGGCATGTTCACTGGGAATCAGGTGACAAGCTTTGTGTTCGCTGGGCTGAAAAATTAATGTATCTGTGAGTTTCAACTCATTTCAGTGGGCCAGTACCAAAACCCAAAAACTAAGCATAGTCCAAGTACCAAAATTCATATACAGATATGATTTCCCCTGATATGCTCTCCCCTGATATGCTCAGGAGAATCATTGTAAGTGTTATTGAGGAACCAACTACTTGGTCATGCTGCGTATTATTGAAAATACACACTTTCAGAGAACATTAGAAATACTTAATTCCTCTTTGGAGCTAACCCTGAGCTGTAAAGCATTTGTCTTGAAAGACAATTTTCAATATTCTAGAACAATACTTCATTTTCAGAGCACAAACACTTTTTCTCCTCTACTTTATGTTTCTACTAAAACAATAATAAAACTCATATGGTCAGTTTTTGTAAAAACTGAGGAAACTTTTATTTTGTTTGTTATTTCACCTGTGAGAAAATGCATTTTTATGCATTAACCTATAAGCAAGAACCTGGGCAATGGGCAGTTATTATCAGGAATGCTAGGGTACACATTTCCCTTAATAAGACAGTGTTTCATGGAGCACCCACCCAAGCTATTTAAATAGACAGCTGGGTGTATTACATCTCACCCATCTCAGGGTACTCAGTTGCCTACCACTCAGGGCACTGCTCAGTATAAATGGGGCTTGAATCTCATCCATAGTTTCCCACAACCCCAGGGAGGAATGTTATAAGTACTTGTTCTTTCTTCCTCAACATCCCTGTACAGAAAAAAATGCAGAGATGATTGGTTTACAACACAATAAAAACACAACTCCCTCCTCCAAATTTTCATGAGACCAAGAAGACATTGTTTCATTAAGAGTTTCAACAGACGAGCACTTCCCAAAGTAAAATTGTTGTTTCAAAAATCCCAAACGTCTCTCAGAAAGCAGAGTACTATATATTATGGTATTGAAAACAAACTTTTGAAAGCATTTGCTGGCTATAGCCAGCAGACCCACCAGCAGTTTCAGTAAGAGAACTTTGCCACCTGTCCAGCACTCATGGATAGACTATCCCAGAGACACTGTGCACACATGCACAGTGAGAGATGTTTTGCCATTGCTTAATGCAATGGGTGGGGAATTAAAAAACAAAACCATCATCACACTTTCACGATCCCATTTTACATAAATCAGCTTCATGATCGGTGATAGAATTACGGCAGACTACAGCAGGGTGCGCACATTATAAGTTAATTCTTGTTATTTTGAGTCCACTCAAAAATCTAAAGTCATCATTCAGAAAATATGGGGGGAAATCTCTCTAGCATAAATCAGTCTTGATGTAAATCAGGTAGTAGATATACCATGGACACTCACTCCTTCTGCTTCTCTGCAATCCTGGACAGGAACCTAGAGGCACTGTTCCAGGATATTACAAGTCATGTGGTGCATTTTAATAAAGATGTTTTTAAACTCTTTCTCCCCAGATGGTTCAACCAAGAAATTTCTTCGTACATAGTCATATATTAAATTTTAGTTCAAAGTGAATAATCATCCTTCTAACCTCCACACAGTCTGGAATAAGAAATGCTGAGATAATAATAATTATAAATATCACACGATGAGAAAAGCTCTTCTTACAGCATTTCCAGATGAAGTGGAGGCAGGAAGTACCAAACAACCTCACAAAAAAAAAGCCTATTTTTGTGTGATATCCAGCCAGATTTTATAGAATTTAAGGGTGTAACAGTCTGGATGAACTTCAAATACGGATTCAAACCTTACGATGACTATCCCCTGAGGTTACAGCATCATGTTCAAAGTAAAGCTTTAGTTTTATAATCAGCTATGAGCCTACAAATACGGTGAAGTATTTCAGAGCTTTTGTGACTCAACATCTCTCCAAACAGATTTGTGGTTGTATCTCACCATTCCTTTAATCATGTATC